TCCTGAGTGCTGGGATCACAAGCATTTGCCACCACACCTGGCAAGAGCTGCAGTTTCTGAAAGCCAGGAAGGGGCTCCTGTAAAACTCAGAAGAGCTCCCTGCATTGGGACCTGGGCCCTCGGCCTGCCAATGGGCCCGTCCTGTCCTCCACTGCAGCCCTGACCCTGGAGCCTTCACCGAACGGTGCCTCTAGCCGGCTCCTCTGCCAGAGGCTGCGGAGGGGACTGGGGACGGAGGGGCCAGTCCTGCTTTGGCCAACAGCGGCTCAGCTCCCTGCATCTGGTCCCTCCTTCATGAAGCGGCAATGATAACAAGCATCTTAGAGAGACGGCGAGCAGACCACAAGCGGCATCAGTCCCTGCTCTCCACTCCCTCGGCCATCAGATGGGGCAAAGCCTGAGCTGGCCAGTTCCTGGGACCCTGTGACAGCCTTCTGGTACTGCGGGCTGGGGGCTCCAAGGCTGAGCCTCTGCTGTTGCTGAATAGATTGGGGCTGGATGTCACAATGGCACAATCAAGCATATTTACTAACAAGCACTCAGCTCCTAACGCTGCAGCGCTGCAGCAAGGGTTAAGTTAACCACCTTCCTCGGCCCCCGGCCCCCTGCATGTTGGTCCTTGCAGACCTGTGTGCGTCCATTCATTTCCCCTTTAGCTTCATCTGCTGGCCTGAAATGACCTCCTGCCAACACCTGCTTTCCGTGGTATCTTCTCTCTATATACCTTGTTATTGTGGTAAAATATCTATAGCAACAGTTACCATTTTAACCACTGAGGTTATGGCACGAGGGATACACTGCTGTATAACCCTCCCCACAGCCCTACCAGACCTTTCCCATCTTGAAACTCTGTAACCACTCAACAGGAACACCCTTCCTCCCACCCCTGGTCCCCTGCCCAGCAGCCTGCACTTTCTAAGTCTATGAATTTGACAACTATTATGGCAGGAGCTCTCACGGGAGTCCTTTCATGACTGACTTAGTTCACTCAGCATAATGTTCTTGCGATTTATCTATGTTGTAGTATGAATCAGAATTCCCTTCCTTTTTTAAGGTTAAGTAATATTCCATTGTGTGCAGACACCATCTTTTGTGGATTCACTCATCTGTTGGACATTGTAGTTACTTCTCCCTTTCCGATGCCTCTTTGAATCTTTTTCTTTCATTTATGTGTATTTCCAGGAGTGGACTTTCAGGGCCATATCATAATTCTATGTCTGTGTGTGTGTGTGTGTGTGTGTGTGTGTGTGTGTATCTGTGTGGCAGGCGGACAGAGACAGAGAGGGTCTCAACATGTAGCCCAAGCTGGTCTCAAACTCACAGTGATTCTCCTGCCTCAGCCTCCCGAGTTCTGGGATTACAGGTGTGTGCCACCACACCTGGTTTCCATATCATAATTCTACGCTTACCTTTCTGAGGTGTCTCCATGTTGTTTTCCAGAGTGGCAGCACTATTTTAAATTCTGGCCAGCAATGTGCAAGGATTCCAATTTTCTTTCTATCTCTCCAATGCTTGTTATTTTCCAGATCTAAAAACTAATATCATGTCAGTGAACTAATTATATTGTTGGATCAATTTCACATGCCTCTATCCTGTAATCAGAGCAACTACTTTGAAGATGACAATATGCAATATAATAACCATTGTTACTTTCCTACCATTTTGTTTTGAAATTCTGTATCATTTTTATTGTATATTTCCCTCTCTTTAAAATAAATCAAAACTAATATCCATCCTGAGTGTGAAGTAGTTCAACGTGTGTCTTTTTATTGTATGACTTCTTCTGTCCTGTTTTCACTTGAACTGATCTAACATTTGCGTGCGTAGAACTCACCACTTCTCATTCCAGCTTGGCTCTCTGCGGTGTGGATCCACCACATCCATGCATATTGAAAACCTACTACGTGCTGCGCCAAGCTCTCTACATGAGTTATTCGATTCGATCCCACATGGCAATCCTAAAGCGTAGGTTCTTAATACTCCCATTTTATGGCTGGGTAAACTGACGCAGAAAGGTAAGGAATGCACTGATGGTCACACAACCGGAAGTAGTGGTGCTGAGGTTAACCCAGAAGCTGTCTGGTACCAGGAGAGGCCAGGTGCATAAGGTGCCATGGGGGTGCACAGATGGAGACCTGCTTGTAGACACAGCTCCCTCCTCCTCTGGTAACGGGGATCGAATCTAGAGCCTTTCCCCTGAGCTGCATCCCCAGCCCTTTTTTTTATTTTTTATTTTGAGACAGGATCTTGCTAAGTTACGAAGTTGGCCCAGGCTGGGGTTGAACTTGTGATCCTCCTGCCTCAGCCTCCCAGAGTGTTGGGATTATGGATGTTTGTCATTACCCCACTGCAAGAGGGCCTGTGATACAGGTTCTAGTCCTGACTTGGCCCCCCTTTCGGTCTGTGTGAAGTGAAGACAGAACCATTTCAGCACCTTTCCAGAGGCACCACCTGTTGATGAAACGTCCTGGTGGTGGGAAATAACTGTAATCCAGCCAGGTGTCCACCTGGGAGCCCCTGGGAACTGTGGATGTCCCTACCGAGGCTGACAGTTCCCAGGGACGCCGAGCCACTGCCTCCGCCCCTGGCTGGCCTCCCCTGAACTTTGCACTTACTCTGATGAAAAATTAACTGGGCTAATGCTTCCCTTCCAAGGACAAGGCCACCCTCCGCACGGCAGGCCTGGCTGGGCCCCAAGAGACCAGGCGCCATAGCGGAGTCGCATCCATGCGGAGCCTGTTCATGGTCCAACGCGGAGAGGGCATGTGGGTCCCGGAGCCCCAAGCGAGGGTCAGCTTCTCACCGTCCTTGGGGCTTCCAGTGGAGCAGATGAGCCAGGGGAGTGAGAACCAGCTGGATACAGCACTCCTGGATTCCCGTGGCCCAGCCTGGCTTCTCTGTGGGCCCCAAGGCCCCCGACTTATTGGTGTTGGCGGGAGGGAAGCAGGGGACAGTGTGAGCCTGTCACGGTGACTTGCTGTCTAGTTGCTCCCCCTTCTCAGGAAGAGGAAGGTGGACTGCAGGCCAGGCCCTTCCACTCCGGTGCCCTCCCAAGCCTCCTCAGCGGCTCACCTCCGCGTGCCAGCGCCTGTCCTTCCAGGTCCTCCGAGGTGGAGGCGGAAAGCCGGTATTCTGAGCAGCTCAGAGCCCGGCTCCTGCTTCACCCGGCTGCCCCGCGAGGGTGGGACTTGCTTGAATCAACGCTCAGTTTAAAACCAACCCTTTATCAGCGGGTGGGTCCCTTTCTGTGCCTGCGGGGCTCCCCCAGCCCTATCCCTCCGTGCGCCTCTAGGCCAGGAGCTCCTGACTCCTGGGCTCAGGGTCCACACCAGCGTCCCACAGCTGCCCCGGAGGCGGGGAGGAAAGCTGTCCTGGTTCCATTTCACAGGCGAGCAAACATTCTTGGCACTGTCCCAATACAGCCCCGCAGAAAAGCGCTTCTGTTCAGCAAAGAACTCTCCGCCTTCCACGACTCCCTGAGGTAGCGGGGTGCAGGAGCAAGATAATGGAAGAAGGCCTCACGGAGCGCCGGTTCGAGTCCCAGCTCCGCCACCTGGGACCCTGAGACTTACTCTCGGCTCTCCGGGCCTCCAGGGCCCGAATCCTCGCTGACTTTGTGGATTGGCCGCACCCCACAGGGCTGTGTACCTCTCCGCCCTCCAGGGTTGCAGATAACCCCTTTCCCACCCCAGGGGGTTTCCTGCTGTTAAAAGCAAACAAAAGCCTCCCCATCGGGCCAGCCCTAAAGGGGAGGCGCTAGGAGCCTGCGGTGACTCCCCAAAGCCGCCCCTGAACGCTGCGGGTGGGCCGAAAAGCCCCAGACTCCCCGAAGCGCATTTCTCGGCTTCCCTCCGGGGCTAACTTTGAACACAGAAACTTTCGAGCACTCCCCTCTCGCCCCACCTTTTTTTTCCCTTCAAGTTCACTGCTTTGGAAACCGCTCTCCGTCCTATTTACTGGGTGTCGGATTTCGATCTTTGTGTATCACGAGGTCGCCCCCATTCATTCCTTCAGGGACTCAACAGATGTCTGCGGGTCCGTTTCTTTCTTTCTTTCTTTCTTTTTTTTCTTTTTCCTCCTAAGCGCTTGATTCACAAGGCCCCAGGGACCCTCTCTGGCTCCAGCTATTGTTCGGGTTGTCACTGGGGTCCCCAGCTCTCCACTTCCAAGCGCTACTTCGGGCCACCAGCCGGTGAGTTGTCACCGGGGAGAAAAGAACAACCGCCCCCGAGGCCCCGGGGTCGGGGTAGGCCCCCGCCAGGACCAGCGCGCCCCGACTTCCTGGACCACCAGCGCCCCGCGGCCTGGCTGCCGGCCGGGTCCCCTCAGGTGCGCCCCGAGCTCCGCGCCCCGCGCGCCCTC